GGGGGATGGAGACAGTCAAAGATGCGAAATAGAATTGTTTCGGACATTATTTGGTGCTAATAATTTGTTGTTTGAGCAATAATATCAATGCAACTAAGCACTACATAAACGTCCAAAGTTGAAAAAACAAACACACAAGTAAAGAGAGGCCTATAGAATTAACAATGGAAATAAGAAGTATAAACACATATCTTAAGTATCTGCTCAAGTTTGTTCCCTCACTTGAGTCTATAAACCAGGGTCAAATCTATTTCCCATCCAGTCTTCAACATTTCCCCATTTTTACAGCTAGTTGGTAACCTGACGAAATGGGATTTTTTTTCTGAAGAACATCTCGTTTTGCATAGTTCTGAGGCCTATACTTTTTTTGTCTTTGATTCCAAAACAAAAGAAAATTTGATACTGAATGATATATGTGATTGTTCTTCGCAGATTGTGTAAGAGGGCCACAAGGCCCATGAGTATGTTTAAGTTCAGTTTTCTTTTCGTTGATTTCTGATACCATAGTACAGGCGCACCAGTTGTGAACTAGAAAACGGAAAAAAAGATTTGTACTTAAGTGATGCAGCCTACAGTTTTCTAGTAAATTACAGTTTCAATGCTGTTGCCACTACCTATGCAACTTTCTCTTTCTGACAAATACTGCCTCTGCTGTTTCCATAGAAATAATCGTACTGGCATATAATATTTATATATATACTTACTTGCATGGACCCCATGAAAGTCTGTGCTCCCCCAGCAAAAACAACAACACAAAAAACAACAACAAAAAACCCTAACAACAAAAACAAACTACCAAACAACAACAACACCCCCACCCCTCAAAAAACAAACAAAAAATCAAAACAATAACGGCTACAAAAAAACGACAAAAAAACCAAAACAATAAAAACAAACTACCAAACAACAATAACAACAACACAAAAAGGAAAAAAAAGCAAAAAGCAAAAAACCCCCAAAAAACAACAACCGACATCAAGACAACAACAACAAACCCTCGACATGATTAGTACAATTTAGAAAGCACAAGCTGCTTCATCCTTGCCCACCAGAGCTAACCCAGAGTCTGAGCAGAAAGAATGAGATACTAGATAAAGTAAATGTCTTTACTAAGCATTCTAACTCAAGTCTTCTCCGCACAACTGCGAAGGCCTAATCACTGAACCACAGTCACCGTTTTCCATTTCTTTTCACTACTTCTAGAGCAACCTGCAAGCCACAATTGATGGATTCCATCAGAACTGCTCCTGTGACCAATCCCAGCTGATCCAGCGCCTTGACAAAGCGGAAGCGGACATTGCCAAAATAACAGCTGCAGCCGGTTCCGGTTCCGGTTCCGGTTCTCAGAGCTCGGGCGTCCAACATGTCGAAACCGGCAAATTTTCGTGTTCTAGCGTAGGCATGACTGGATCCGGTGGCAATTTTGCAACGAAGTTTAACGGCGTTGCCAAGATGGTTGTCTCCGTGGATGGATTTGAGACGCATGGGTCAGACACGAAGACGAGTGTATCGACGTCCAATGATGGCAGCAGTTACAGCGTGAGCTGTACCACCACCGCGTACGTAAGCGGGACTTGGGTAGCTTTTGAGGATAACTAATGACTTCACTTCTAACGTACGGGAACTAAAGAAAAAAAAACCCGTATCACTTTTCGGACTTAATAAAGACTGCACCACTTTCACTTGTTGTGTGTTTACTTCTCTCTGTCTCTCTGTCTCTGTCTCCCTCAGTCTCTCTTTTTCTCTCTAAGTGCGCTCTCTGTGCACGCGTGCAGTGAGTATGTGTTTGTGTGTGTTTGTGTGTGTGAATGTGTGTGTGCGTGTGTGTGTGTGTG